GTGTTTCTGCACTATGTTACTTGTTTCAAGTTTATGGACTACAAAAAGAAAAAATGAGTGTCGGCAATGCTGTGTTCATTTTTCACACATCTCTTATTTATCGGTAGGTTCACGCTTCTGAGGGCAAAGCAACACCAGTGTTTGTGGGTACAGCTTGCATATTGGGGTTTCTAGTTATGCTGGGTACAAGGAAAAATGATACAGCAACTTGGAGTAAGACAAACTGTGGAAGTAACTAGCTGCCCAAAAGCAGTTATTTTGCAAATTTATGTGATCTATGTGTATATGTATTTATATTTACAGACACAAGCTGATTGTATAAAATGTGCGTGGAATTCAGTTAAACCCATGACATGCCTGATACACATCGGATGGCTGGCTTGCTGACAGTATGGGACAGTTCTTGCTCATGACGTGTACGGCTCTTGTCCATCTCTTTGAGAACCTACCCAATGGCCTTTGTGTGTTTCCTGTAGTCAGTGGATTTTGCTGGGTACATATGTATGAGAGAGGAGTATTCTTCGTTATTTTTATTACTGTGTGATGAACCAAAATTTACCTTATTATTTTATAATAATACATTAGGTGCATCTATTGTCTCCCTGGTAAAATACACACAAAAATAACTTTCAGCCAAATCAGCTGTTTAAGGAGCAGATCACAAATGGAAGTTTTTTTATTGTACTACATTTTTTTCCCCTCCATTTACTATCAAAACTGACCTTTCACAGACTAGGTACTAGCAGCACTTCGAGCAAGACATGCAGATTTTCATTGCTTTGGGTCTTCTGAAAGCCAGGGCCCAATTAAAAGCTTTCTCTAAGGATACGTGAATGGGACAACAGATGCAAAACAACCCAAGGCTTCTGGCTAAGCATGCAGACAACTCAGATAATTTGTTCTTTTTTTTTTCTTCCCCAAATCCTCAGTCATTCCCTTGTCTCAAGAGAATTTTTATTTCTGAAGGAGTTCTTTAAAATTACTTCCTTTAATCACAGAGTTGGAGAGAGATTTGATGGAGCTTTTGACAGATATTCCTGTAAGGAAACTAAAATAATAGAGATTTGTTCCTTAATACTGTAAATGACAGCAGATTCAACAGCTGTTTATCATCCTCCTCCGTCATTGATATTGCACTGATTAGGCACTGCACTAAAGTGTGGTAAAGCCTAAGTTTCCATCTGAACTCCTTTATGTTTGTAAGGGAGGGTGTCAGCATTGTAGGTCTGGTGCTTTGCAACTGTCATAATTCGTACTGAAGTTTTTAGTATTCTGTTTCCAGCTTAAAGATGCCTTTTTGTTATCAGGACACTTGCATTTCCTCTCTTCTCCAGTCCCCTCAGGTTCTGCCCTTCCTCAGAGATTATATACCAAGAACAAGAAGTAAAATGGATATTTGGGTATTCAGCAGGCAGTGAAAACAGTAGCACACTTTTTATGTTCATCAGAAAAGGATCTGTGGCAAAGTTAAGTCACTGACCTTTTCTCCCTGGCCATGATGGGACTTTTCAGGAAGAGCTGGGTTCTGCTCCGCAGTGAGCTTGCCTGGTGTGAGGAAGTTCACAGACATATCCTGTGAGCACACGGAGGGCTCAGCTGAGCCCTGAGGACGCAGTGTTAGGTCCTTTCTGATTAATCCACCCTTCACCAGCGTGTCTGGGTGTCACACTGCAGACTGTCTGGGCTTTTTTAGGATTCTCTCCTTTCTGCTGAAGCCTGCACTGAGTATCCCACAGTTGTGAGGTTCATAGAGACTAAACAAGATGCTTCTTACTCCAACTATAACCATGGTCTACATGGAGAAGTTAGGTTCAGTCTAGGACTGCGTTTATTGTGGAGATCAGAGGGGAAGGCTGTGCTTAAACCAAGCTCTTTACTTCTTCCCTAAAACCCTCCAGTGCAAGCATAGCCAAAATCCCCTGCTGCTATAGCTGTTAGAGTCAGCTCAGAGATGCCAAGGCAAGTCAAGGGGAGGGGAGACTGGGGAGGAGAGAGAGCTAAGGAGGTGGTGTAGGTACCCTACTGTCTTAGCCACTCTTGCCCACATAGGATCCATTAGGTTTCCAAAAAGCTACTCAGAAGCATTTTGTTTGAGATGGCAGCATGGCTTTCTGAGCCTTATGTGGCTCAGAAGAGGCAGATGTTCTGCAGTGTATTGATCTTTGAAGCCTGATGCATATATTACATTGTTTGTCAGTTTGTGGTATCCTTTTAGGCTTTGCAGTTATGGGTTCCTCCAGTGAGGCCTATTTTATTTAGCATTCAGCATATTAATTGTACATAAAACTTCATATCTGCAGCTCCTACAGCAGGCATCTCTCTGAAGAAGCCTTAAGATGTCATAATATTTGAAAGAGAAAAATGTGCATTTTTTGCTAGCACCTGTAATTTAGGTAGCAAAATAATTGGGTAGGAAGCATCTCTTATCTCTTGTTCAATCTGATATGAAAGACAGTTACAGCTTTTCAAATCTGGCTAAAACTATGAATTATCCTACAATATTTGGATGGGTCTAATTTAGGCAGCTGTCAGACGGAAATATTTTAGGTTCTGTATATTAGTAACACTTGCAGAGGGACTGTGGCTGTTTCCAAAGACTTTTTTTGGTGCGTGAAATGAGAACTCACTTAGCACAGTAACTACTGTGGAGATGTTTGAACAAATAAATTGCTTGAATGAAATAATTATTCCTAATAGAGAAAAGGAGAAGTTTGGATGGACTTTAATCATTCTTACAGCATCCTTGTGAGAGGCATATCAGAAACTCTAGGATGTCTGTTACTTTAAATGTTGATATACTGCTCAGGTTACTGTAAGAATTATTCCTTTCCAGTTCAGGACTACTGGGGGTATGGGTGTGCAAGTTTTATTTTATCTTATTTTCCATGTGAAGGACACATTCAAAAAACTGGGAAGAGCCTTTAATAATCATATTACATCACAGTTAATCAACAAAGGCTATAAGGACCTTCTATAAGATAAATCACAATTAGAACTTAAGTATCAGTTGGGAATTGGGCTATAATTCTAACTAGCACTTACCCTGTCTTTTGATACGGTACAAATCCTTCCTACCTATAAAGACTTTACTAGCCTGATTCTCAGCCTGAGGCTTTAACATTCTGCTTAGCGTTCATTTTATTTGGTTTGACACTCACCCATTGTATTTTGGATGAGTTTGAACTGAACTGCTCCACCTGATGGTGAAAACAAGAAGATGCCATCTCTCAAGCAATAAGGATTTATTTGGAAAAAATGTAATCTAGTGGAAGCACTTAACGCTGTAAAGGTATGCGTGCCTTAATCCAGGAGACCTACTAATAATATTCTGCCCCCTTTATACTTGGATGTTGAGCAGCTAAGGTTATGTAAAGGAGTTGCACAAAGATGTTGAATCCATAGTTTTCTTTCATTTTTCTAGTGAGATACCCAGTAGGTGGGTACTTGTACTGTGGACATGTGCTTCTCAAAGTCCAGATGCTGCCAGAACCTGAGATGCAGCTGTGCTTTGCAACACATGCATACTTAAAAGTATTTGTTCCTGCTCATGCACAAAAAGGGAAGTGTGGCTGCTCAGTAGCTGTTGATTTGGTCATGTTCTTATTACCCAATGTGGAAATACTTAATGGTGGAGTATGTTGGGTAGAAGAATTTGCCCATATGGTATTTTCTATCTCAAGTCCATTTAGTTGTTGTCTTGGTTTCAGCAGAGGTAGAGTTAGTTTTCCTCCTAGTAGCTGGTATAGTGCTGTGTTTTGGATTTAGTATGAGAATAATGTTGATAACACCTTGATGCTTTTAGTTGTTGCCAGGTAGTTGTAGTGTCCACACTAAGTCAAGGACTCACACACTGCCAGGTGCACAAGAAGCTGGGAGAGCACAGCCAGGCCAGCTGACCCAGACTGGTCAAAGGCATATTCCATACCATGTAGCATCATGCTCTGTCTATAACTGGGGAAGCTAGTCAGGAGGTGGGATTGCTGCTTGGAAACAGACTGGGCATTGGGTTGAATTTTTTTGCCTTTCACATATGGTGAGCAATTACATTTGTGCATTGCTTGTATTATTGTTATTATTACTATTATTGTTGTTATTGCTGCTGTTGTTAATATTATTATTATCCTTTATTATCATATTAAACTGTCTTTATCTTAACCCATGAGGGTTTTTTCCCCATTCTCCTCCCCATCCCCTTGGGGGAGGAGGGGTGAGCAAGTGGCTGAGTGGTGCTTAGTTACTGGCTGGGACTAAACCGTGACAGTTGCACAGAAAAGGAGGTGAAAACTAAAGAACTCAGAAAGAAACAACCTACTTACAAGGAAAGATTTGGAAGTCTCTCTTGTGGCATTGAAAGAGAAATAATCAGATAATCTTGTGCAAGCAGCAAAGAAACAGGAAGCGTAACAGAGCTGCATGTCCCCAAGTCTTTTAGTCTGCCCAGCTTTGTGCAATGCAAGAGTCTGTAGATGCATGCTACAGTAAATTTGCTCTGACACCTTTCATATTGCCCTAAGATACCAGAGTATTTTCTGTGTGATAGTAAGATCTATCATCTCCGGACGGTCATGTCTTCAGCCAGGAAAGCCAAAGGTATGATTTGCTATCTTGAGCTGATGTGCGTGGGATAGAGGATGGATCCTGTATGGAAGGATGCTTATATGTAGCAGCACATGCAAGGGATGATCTTTAAAATATTTGAGCAGCCTAGGGCCAAGATATCCCATGCTATTGAGAAGGTAATGTGACATCTGAGCACAAGCTGATTACGTTCAGCCTGCACTGCTACAAAAACATTGTATAAGGTCATGGTGCCCCAATCGAAAATCTCTGTGAACAGGCAGGTTGTTCTAATTCATGCTGTGAAACTTTGAGGAATCTTCTTGTTATATTCAGTTTTCATAGCCTCTATCAAAAATTGTGAATTTTAAGCTGTTCCTGTAGTTTTGTACTTTATTTGTATTAAGCATATACACTTACCTTGCCCAAAATGGTGTGTACAGACCTTGTTTTGTTTTGTTTTTTTCTTTCTCTCTCAGACACCCTGGCTCTGGAATACCAGACAGTGCTGGAATGGGTATCCATATCAGGTAAAAGTTACAGTGCTGCCTAAAAACAAACATGGCACCTCTGCAGAGCTCTGTTTTTATTATGGTGGAGCTTTGTGTCAATATGTTAGTGTGAATGGGCTACTCAGCATTTCAGAACATTGCTAGATGCTCCCCATCTTGCTTGAATTCAAGATGAGAAAGATGAATATAGCTGTTACACCTGTTTTGAAATGAAGCATAGATCTGGGAAATCTAACTGTGAAAGCAGGCATCTGCAGTGGCAGTGAAGTGGTCATTTTTTACAAATTTCTGAGGATACTGAAAGTTTTAGCAAAGCCTCTGATTCAGGGGGTTGGGAAAAGCTAGTATAGTTTTCAAGTTGTTATACTGCATACAGGAGGAGACTTAATCCCTGGCAGTTGGTGTGATCAAAGAGGAGACTAAAGAGAGAAGGTAGGTTTCTCCTTTAGGTACTTAAATAGGGGCTATCCAGTCCTGTCCTCATGGAAGCTTACGACTAAAGAAGGTAAAATTAATGAGAGAATTGAGAATGGTTTCAAGTCTTTATTTTCAGCAACGTCCGTATTTTCATGGATTCAAAAATCATCAGCCTTTCTCTCTGTTCTAGGTCGAAGTATATAACTTAACTTCAAAGGAAAGACTTAAGTCATTTATCTCCTTTATGACAGAGAAGAATGCCACCATTAGAGTAAAAACACCCTTTCAGGCTGTGTCCTGCTGCACTCATTCCCTCTTTCAGTCCTCAAAAAAAATTTTGCTCAAGTTTGAAATTTGGTTCCCTTAAATCAATCTTCAAAAGAACAATAACAGTATATTTATTCCTTACTGCGCTGCTAAGGTTTTAACTAGTTCCAGGAATATTTAATTCCTAGGTCCAAGTTCTGGCCATCTTTCACAGCAACGTAGTTGCTTCGCTTCAATGGCATGCACATGCTGCAATAATACCAGGATTAATTGTAGCCCTATAACTCCAGAAACTATTCTCTGCCAGGGGAAGATGGAGCAGGACAAGTGAAAGGAGAAGGGTAGAAATTTTTTCTATCATTATCTGTTTGAACAGTGGCTTCCAAAGTTTGCATACCCAAAGAGCTTTGAGAAACCTCTCCTGTGCTTTCCATTAGTTTGTGCTACTGGACATAGTTGTTAAAGCATGGGATGTATTTAAACAGAGCAGTCAACCTGCTCTAAAGGATTTAATGTATTTTCCAGACAAGATAACTCCTGAGCTCTGCCTTGGCTGAACCACTGCCTCATTTTGCCTCCTGGTCTGATAGAAGTAACTTACAACATGGATGTTGTGAGGATCAGGGAATTAAATAAATCCTCCCTTTTATTATTATTAATAATAACAGTAAGGTAGTCCTTTCAAGGAAGAAGTATCATCATGTACATGGACTAGGAATGGACTTTAGCATCCCTTTCGGGAAAGCTAAGAGCCACCTGTTTTGTTAATACCCTTTGTATATCAGGAGGCAACAAGAGATTAAAGTTGTGAAGTATAATTTTTCCTTTTGTTATAAATCAAAGGTAACAAATGTTTCAAATGTGACTAAGATGATCTTCAAAATAATAACTTCTGAAGATAACTTTTGGTAGCTTTTTTAGTTTGAATTCTAATTCTAAACCTAAGCTTCATTAAAATGCTGGGTTTTAGTTCTGGTTTTGTTTTAAATTCAGCATCCAGGAGTCTCAACAGGGATGACTGAGACATTGTGCTAGCTGCTATCCAAATATAATTGACAGTGAATTCCAAAAGCTTCAGCAAAGAGTTTGCAATTTAAGGAGTCTAACCTGTCTAAGGCATATTACTTTTTTCTTTTTTTTTCCTTTCCTTTTTTTCTTTTTACTTTTTTCTTTTTTTTCTTTTTTCTTTTCCCTAAAGCGCAGGGAGGGGAAAGAAAAGCCCTCACTGCCAGGCCAGAAAGTATGAAGAAGAGTATTGTCTGAAAGATGCATGAATTCCCTGTAAAAGTGAAAAGCCCTGGACAGACTGAACAGGAGAATTGTGTTTAGGTTTGGGTGCCACTGTTCTTGAAGGTTGTGTACCTGTTGGAAATAGTTAGTGGGGATAATTGAACAAGAATGACCCAAAATCTGATGTGAGAAAGGTTGAAGGAATTTGGTCATTTAGCCTCAGAAGAAATAATGACTTAAATTCCACCCAAGGAATGGAGGGTGAAGTGAAGAACGTTAGGGAAGCAACAGAAGAAATTGAATGTGGGAAGTGTTGAATCTTCATCCCTCAGAGATTTTAGGAATAATCGTTTGTCAGAATTGATATGGCTGCAGTCACTGGTGCCTTTCAGTCCTATTTTCTACTCTTTCTGTGCAAGAAGAGATTTACTTGTGACATAAGACCATGAATCTTACTGGTTAAAGAACGTGTGTTTACCAGACTTATCAGAAGAAAGAGGTCATTTAGAAAGTTAGTTACAACTTTTAGAGGGTGACAACAAAACTTACTATATCTAAAATCATGCTGCTAGTGGAGAGGGTCCAACAAAAGTAAATCATCAAATAAAAGTAATTATCAAAATCATTGTCTCAGAGATAAAAATGTCTACCGGGTGCTAATCAGGATTAAATATTGGGTTTTCAATTTTTGTTTTTCCTTAACTAGGTAAAATTTCTAATGTCTTGTTTACTACAAATCCTTTGTACGTTACTCAACATAGTATTGCAGAAATCCAGCTGGACTTACCGTAGATATAGTCAAATGGATCATTTGGGTGACAACTCTACCCATAAGCACAGACTAGTCCTATCAAAGTTAAGTCAATGGAGAGCTGAAACCTAACATTTAAGCTAAGTTAAACACACATTATTGATCCTTTTGTGGAGGGAAGACATGATATCCTTAGAATTCCCCTATGTTATCATTATATATGGGTTTAGAAATACTAATGCTATTGTTAATAAAGCAGCTGACAATCTTAATTGTTTTACTAGAAATTTTCCCCAGTGAGTTCTCTTGCAATAATGAGTGTAATAGTTGTAGTTCATTGCTAGCTCATGTTCTCTTCCCTTTTTTTAATTACACCTAATTAAAAGCTTACTGGCAGTCTCACTAAATCAGAAAAGGATTATATTGGCCCAAGAAATGGCTTTGAAAGATTGATTTTGAGTGTACACATTTTTCATAAAGCATAAGCAAATGTCTATATTTAAATAACCCACACAGAGCATTCAGTGGGTACCTAAGGACTGTTTCTCAGCTGCAAAGAACTGGTCTGCAAAAGGGGATGGGAATGAAAAGCAACTGAAGTGCCTCTTGCCAATGGAAATAGCTCATGTCCCGCTTGGATGCATGGTTGTGCCAGTGCAAACTGCTCTAGAGATGGTTCATCTGATCCCTCAGGAGATGCCCCCACGAGCTCCTCCTGTGCCAGGGCCCCCCTCTATCATTACGATGGAAGACATGACTAGCAGGGAGGCACAATAGGACTGGCTCTCTTAAGTTGGGTGCTAAACAGCCTGTGTGTGCCACCAGTTACCTTCTTTGAAGTTATCCCAGGTTGGTTTTGGTTGTGCATGAGTTATGTGTCTTGTTATTTTTATTTCTTTTACTTTTAAACATCTGTAACCATGCTGTATGTCAAACAAGATGGATAAATTTATTTTATTTTCTTCTTTCCAAATGTTAACATGTTCCCAGAAAATGGTTAAATTCTTTAAAAGTAGGATTTTGTATTACAAAGAGCCCTGTTTAAAGCTCACAACATTTTCATCATGAGCAGATGAGATGAGATTGTATGCTAGCATTACTTTAATCTACTCTAGCATGGTTTCTTTGCTGTGCTTTAAACCCACATTACTGATGTACAGCAAGATGTTTCAAGTAATCTTTCAAAACAGATTTAGGAGTACTCAGAATTTAGCTTGTTCTAGGTTCCAAACGGACAACATAACATAATTTTTTGGTATTACAGTATTATAATACTGTGAAGATTAAAACCTAGGAGGAGGGTAGTTTGGGGAGCTTTATTTTTCTAGAGCCATCAAAGTTTGAAAGAGGCAACCATCATCATTTTTCTTACATAGAATGCTTATGTATAGTTCAATAATCCCCCTGTGATTAAACATATCTCCTCTAGACCTCAGCTGCCTGTAATGTCAGTTAGACTCTATTAACCTTTTCTCATCTCCATCTTTCAGCCACTGATGCCTGACCTTCATTATTACTACATAGTTGAATTGTCATTCTACTGGTCCTTAATGTTTTCTCAATTCATTGACATCAAAAGAAAGGTAAGAGCAATGAGACTAAAAACAATGAAAGCTTTAAGCACATTTATTTCTTTACTTGAGGAATACCTGTATTACCTGTGCAGTGAACTGGAAACACAGTTCTTTCTAGTCACAACCTCTTGAAGATATTTGTCACTGAGAAACTGGTGTTGAAGTGCTTGTCTTACTCTGTTCCATGTTACTATGATACGGGGTTTTTCTGCATATAGGAAGAAGAGTCTGGAGTTATAAAATATTCAAGGGGAGATAGCATCAGCCAAAAAAAACCTTCTGCTTTCATACAGTGACTTGAATGGAATTGAACATGTAGTAGCTGGTAGATGTACTGTTTCTTCTAAGAGCTAAATGATAAAATATCAATGACAGAGCAAGACTACCTCATAAATTCACAGTATCACTTTGGTAAGATTTATGAGGGCTTTTGATTTATTCTACAAAGGGATGGTAAAAACAGGGATATGTTTAATATTAAAAAGTGGTGTTACATTTAATCTTACCTTTACAGTTATGATATTTCAAATAGCTGAGCATTGCCATTAAGGGGCTATTAATCAAGAAAACAAAACTCTGGCCAGATAAAACCATTTTTCCAGTATCAGTAGCAACCTGTTCCATATTCCTTCATCTAAGTTTTCTCCAGGAAGAGTGCTAGTCCATAGCAGAACAGGCAGCACAACAGTTCATTCTATAATAACAGTCCATTAAGCTATTCTTGCAGGTTTTTCTAATGTTGCAAAATTATTTGTCTAAAACATTTGGAAGGATTCTATAATATTTTTAAATGCCTCATTCTGCTGTCATTTAATTAAATGATTATAAGCTATGCTAATGGAAAAATCCCTGTTTACTAGAGTTTTAGCAGGAGCATAACTCTGAAAAGAATAAATGAAGGGTCCAGTATGTCCTGAATAAATTTATCTGCTATTTGGAACTACAATGTGCTCCTGGGAGTCTTGTGTCAGAGCTACATTTATAGATAAACACCTCTTTGTTTGAATTTCCAAATTTTTCCAGAAGTAGAAATCTCAAGAAAACATCCACAAATTTTAAATCCATATTGGAGGGCAAATTGTAAACAAAACAACCAATTTAGGATGAATACATGTGAATCCATTGCTTGCATTGTCTGTAGAGGCTAAGCATTCTGTTAATCATGGGCTTGAAATGAGTGCAACTTCACTGTTTCAAAAAACAGTAATGCAGGAAAAACAGTGCTCAGCGGAGCTGTATGATAGTGGAGATTAATTTAAATTGAGTAACATTGACTAATATACGTAAGCTGCAGGTCCCAGCAATACTGAATAGCCATTTGTCAATATATCAACCAAAACCAAACCTCCGCAGCAATGTTACAGAATTGTTCAGGTTATTGCTGCAGAAATGTATTGTGTCTAATCAGTCCCCTTACATTCATATTGAGCCCTCTGCACTGTGCCATTGGTTATATTTTATTTTCTTAGTGTACCTCTTGAGAGAGAGGAAAATGTAGCAGTGTTGCAATTGCAACAGTACTGCAATTTTGCAGTACAATACCTCTTTAAAGAATATTTAATTGATTCCTAACTAGTTGCTTTGCTCACATGAAAAGTAATTTGGAGGCAACCTGAACAGCATCGAGGTTCAGTGCTGAAGTGCGTTTCTGAAAAGGGTCATTGGGAGCATCAGTAACACCTTTCTCATTTAATATATCTCATGAGCAAATGCTATAGCTTTTTCCCTCATCACCTGGAGAGTATGTTCCCATTGGTGAGCCCAGAGCCAAAGCCTGATCCTGTCCGTAGTACAGGTGCAAGTAAACAATCTTTTGCAAGTCTGTTTCTCAATTATGTATAAATGACTTGTTACCAGAAAGACTTTGCAGCAGCCTACTTTGGAAATAGAATGGGCGATGGAGGTGAAGTGGATCGCTAACAGCAAAGTAGCACCCCTGCTGCAGATTTGCGGTGCTTGAACCCAGAGGATCAGATCAAAGCAGTGTTTCCTGCAGCTGCCGTGTCTGAGAATAACCAGTGTCCAGCAGAGAGCAGGAGCACAGTATCTGCAGTGCTGTGATAGCGAGTCAAAAGCCTGTCATTATAAACACCCTGCTTATAATGGAGACAATGGAAATGCCGGGTTTATAAATAACCTATTAGATCACTGACCAGTTTGGACAGTGGAGACAGTTCTTTTTGTAGTGTAAGCAAAATTGATAACTAGAAAGATCAGACTGGAGAAATGTGGCCGTGCACTGGTGTCACACAGTAAAACTGTTCTGTGGCCAGGGGTGAGTGCAAGCTGTCAAGGAAACCCAGGAGTTGAAAAATGTTAGCACTGGGAGCTTACAGTAGTTGACAAAATGTATATAAGCTTGACAGAGACACCAGCTCTTGCAGCACCATAATAGTTTTCTTTTAAAGAGCAAGTTTAGTTTAAAAATGTGGAAACCTCTCAATGTACCCGATACGCAATGTGTGAAATGGTGCCCATATGAAATAAGGCTCTGTTTAACTGGGAGAAGCAGGAAATTTGCTAGCTAATATCAGACACTATTGTAATACTTCATGACAGCTTATACAGAGCAGATGAAGAGTTCTCAGCCTGAGAAACTTGTTGATGTTTTCATGTTACAGTGAGAGGAATAATTTTATCTAAGTCTTCGTTATCGTTTTAGATACTTTAAATTCAGCAGTGGCTGTGTTGTAGTCTGGGTTGATCAAAAGTGCCCTGGCAGCCTTGTGCACTGCAGGAGTTCAGCCAACTGCTTTTACATAGCCAGGTTTCTCTCAAGGTGAGTTGTGGTACGTCTTCTCGAAAGCACCGGCACTCGGCACTGGCCTAGCTCCAGCCCTGGTCTTTTACTCACTGTTGCTCAAGAGAAATGTACTTGCTGTTTTCCACCTCCATTTTATTCTTCTCTAATAGCAAATTCATGACTTTAAACTGATTTCCAGTTGGTTTGCTGACTTTCAAATACCTGTTTATCTTTATTTAGGTGTTATAAATTCCACCAGATTATCTTTGCTTGGCTGATGAGGTATGAGCAAACTATTTAGGTTGTTGCATATACCTACTATTGGCATTAAGGCAGCGAACTAAGTAGATTACTTTTACAGTTTTATAATGGCATGTTTGCTTCATAAATACATATTATGTTGCTGTAATGATGTTCTACCCTTAAGCGCTTTCATTTTCCAAGACTGCAACCTAGTATGATTTGGTTTTTTATCATCCTAGTCCAGCTTCCCATGCTCCTCTTTTTTGTAAAACACAGAGAAAAAAATTAAATCAGGGAATTTTGTACTCTCACAAGGTTCTGATGACTTTTAAAAGCAGTGAGATTTATTTACATGCTTTCTGGATACCTGAAGTATTGTTTGATAGAAAAACATTTGATTGGTGTATTTAAGGGAATGTATAAAATTTCTACTCAGTGAGTGTTTTAACAGGTTTGTAGAAGATCTAGGAGACCTTTCTGTGTATTCACACCTTTTAGTTCCAAGCATTTGGCAATTCCTAGAGCTTCTGTGTTTTACTTTTTAAAAAAAATGACAGTTGACTCATTCCCAAAATAAAATCATCTGTAGCTGCTAATTTTCTTGAATATTCCATTTTGATTCTAGAAAATTATTGTATATTTCACTGAGTCTGGATCCTAGATCTCTTTCTTCTAACTCAGTGAAAAGAGTCCCAGGGCTGATTTCTTTTGTTTCAGAGGAAAGGAATTTAGATTGGGTACATTTTGCAGACCTTTACTAGAATTGTAACGGTTGAAGCCTTTAGCTGGTGACACACCCTTCCTTGTTGAAGCCCATTTCCAGAAGCTGGAGTGACTAATGAAGATGATTTTGCCCTTCAGTGGCACTAATGCTCCATCGCCACTTAGCAGATCCGTCAGTGAGTGTGTCATGTTAAACAAACATGGGTAGCAGAGGCTTTGACTCCAGAGGGCTTGTCTACAAGCTGAGACCCATGGGATTTCTCCATTGTCTGCCCTGTGTTCTTCCCACTGATGGTGCCAGGAGTAGATTCTTTCTCCTATTCTTAGCCACGTATTTTCACGACACAGGCACATGATATCTTTCAGCAGTTACAAGTGGAGGCTACAAATCTGCTGTAAATCAATGCATCTTGCACAAATATAAATACAGTTTGAAATACATTTTAAAAAAGAAAAAGCCCATTCCTGTACAGCTGCTGCTCTGCTGTGTATGGCTGAAAGTGCTGGAGTAAGCTGGGAACACAAGTACCACTTGACATTATGGGGACTCGTACCATTAGTTTCTATGTATTCATTACCCTTATGTGTAATTAAAATCTAATAGGTAGCATCTTCAAAGCATATTATTAATTACTGACATAAAGAAATGTCATAAACAGGCAAGAAAGGACCAAAATAACAAAAGTAGTCTTATTTATATCACTGCTACTTCTTCCTAAAAATTTTCAGTAGGTCAGTCCAGCATCTCAATTTCAGAGCTGGCAGAGTCAGATAACTGTCTCTTTTAAGAAACATTATCAGAGAAGGAGTTTCCTGGACAGCATTTCTGTAAGTAGATTCATGCAGAAGTGCAGAAGACTGTTGCCCGAGAGCATTATGGCCGCTTAGGAATAATCCATATTGTCAGGGATGCCTTGAAGAGTTCCCAGGAGGGATTAGAAATCTCGTATTTGTAGAACATGAATGTGTCAGCTATAAAAACAGACAAGAATTTTCTACTTTGCTTCTTCCCCCATTTGGACTGCCTACGTGCTAACATAATTGCAGTTAGAAGGAAAATGAAGAACAGTGCCATAGCATTTACAGCTGAAGTGGGTAAAGAGCTAGGCTGCAGTATGGCCATATGGCAAGCTAGTAGCTTACTTCTAATCCCAGGAAATAAGGTAGGTGCTTTGCTGTTGTGATTATGGCGTGGTAAAATGGACCCTGTGTGTAGGTTTGTAGTTACTGAAATGACTAAGATGCCATACCCCTGCTTTTCCTTAAGACTCTTAGAAAAGGAAAAAGCCTTTAATTCTTTTTTTTGTTCAGTCTGCTTTAAGAAAATGGATTTAGAGCAATGGCTTGAGATGACTGCTCAACATATTTGATTGTGCTCCACACTCCTGGGGACCAAATAACCTGGCTGAGAAATGTTGGGTGTATACCAAACTAGGATACAGTTCTCTGCTTTTAGTCTTTTTCTTTTTTTCTTTTATTCCCACCCCCTTGCCCCTCTCAGGTTTGTTTTGGGAGATACTGGCAATGCCCATTGATGAGTTTGCGTAAAAATAGGACCTTGTAGCACCTGATAGCATTAAACGTAAGGTGATAGGCTGGGAGGAGGTCCTGTCCCTGTTCAGTTAGTGAGACTGCTCAAGCTGCAGGTTTTTGCATGGACTCCGGGTGTACATTGCAGTGAAGCCAAGTGCTGGTACTGAGAGGCAGCGGCACTGCGCATCTCTGAAAGCAGTGGTGCCTGCTACGTGCCTGCATCCCCAAAGAGAGGTACAGTCACACTCAGCAGTTACTTTTCCCAGCACTGGAGAGAGAGTGTGGTCGGCAGCTGTAGCTGCTGCCTTTTTGGAGTTGACCCTGTGTTAGCAGGAGCTCACCAGCACTTTCCGTAGGGCCCTCCTGCCTGACATGCGTACCTTCAGGCCCTTTGCAAACCAGGGCCTCTCTAAAGAGTGCAGGGTCTGAGTTTCAGTTTCTCTGCTGTGGGCCGTTTAGCTGAAGTCTACCACAGCTCAGCATGACTGGCCCACGAAAGCTGCCAGAAAGCCAAATGCCACCTCCCAGGGCGCTTGGCCAGCAGGCTGCCTGGAGCAGCCGGTGCTTCTGACTGCCTGGATCCCTCCCTTCAGACAGCCCTGTGTGAGAGCCGCTAGATCTGCTGAGAGCTGTGGTAGTAACTTTGCACCTGATGCATGGAGAAATTCTCCAGTCAAATCATGCCTGTGATCTTTTCTTCAGGGTTTTGATAGCACTTTCTCAAAGCTGTGTGGGTAGTTCAGCAAACTCCAGCAAGACTTCTTTTTGACTGACTTGGTGCCTTGCAGAGAAGAATCTCAGCTCTGTGGGTCCTGTTCTGTCCATAATAAGGCTGGGAGCCTAGGCCAGGCAGACGGGTTGTTCTCTCTGCTTTGCCTGCCCCTTGGTGTGTTTCTGAGAATGTGGTGTTACAGAAGCTTCACCACTCCTGGTATTTTTCAATAGTAACAGTTACTTGCTGGCCAAATAACTCAGTTACTGATCTGGAGACCAGCTAACCTGCATCATTTGGGAGGCAGATCTGAGTAGGAGGAGCTGCACCAGCTCATTTAAAGACTTTTCTGACCTTGTTACAGTGTGAAGACAAAGCAGATTCATTAAAAACAAACACATAAAAAACTGGAGCTGGGATTCTCAGCTCTGTGAAATCTCTTAGTTGTGCTTGGCAGGTGACTGCTGATAACTCCTAGTGCAGTGGAAATGGGTTTCCTGTTCTTTTGTAGCTATTTGAAGTCTTGTGAATGGTTTGTTATTTTGCATATTGTATGTTGCTTGGTGTATAAGAAATATGGTGTAATTTGATTTGTATGTACATATGCCTCTTCAAAGTAACTTCAGCTGCAAATGTTTACTTCATTAGGTTAAATTACTATGAACTGAGAAGTGTAGATATTGCCTAGCTTTCAATAATATTGCCTAGCATTTTTTTAATGTACAATGATTATTTTATTCCATGTAAGTGAAATATATAGCAGGTTATTTAATGCACTTATGTAGCAGGATCCTTATGTAACATCACCATAATGCTGGGTTTAAAAAACATCCATCCATTTTTGTATAAAAGTACTGAATCTCACTGTTTGGTTCATTATTTTTTGGTTTTTTTTTTTCCCCCTGCCTCTTGCTGCTCTAGGATTTTGGCATCATGTTTACACATCACATTGTAACAGTCACCCTGATAACCTTCTCATATGTAACCAATTTGACACGAGTGGGAACCTTGACCTTATGTCTCCATGATGCGGCTGATGTTGTCCTAGAGGTGAGATAACACGTATATCATCAGTGTCTGTATATGGTATTCACTATTCTGAGAGCTAGCATGTCAATAGATAAAATCTATTTGCTGTTCAAAACAATATTTCTTAAGCAAAGACGCCAGTTTCAAGATGGTAATGGTGATTACCATAGTCTATTTCCTTGCTGAAATGTATTGTACTTGTAACAGTGCATGTTTGTGACTTTAGGCTGTTTTATCCCTCGATAAGTTGCTTGTACAGAGCAGAGACTGTTAATGCATTGGGAGGGTTACACACAGGTTTTAAATATAACATGTTAAAGTCAAAAGCTCAAAGTTGCAAAATCTGGAAGGTGAGGACTCTGTTGGATAGAAGCTCCTGGTTCTTGACCCCTGTGAAGTGATGTGAGGGGCAAGAACCCTGCCTCCGAAAAAGTCAAGGTGTCATAGTTTGATTCTGCTGTGCTTTGCTGAGCAGAGGCTACTGGACAATGTAGTAACTGTTCTGTGTGCCGGCACTGAGTTCACCTCTGGTCCCCAGGTTTTTCCAGGTGCCTGTGCCTCTGCATCCAGATGCCAGTGTTAAACAGTTGGCTTTGGAGAAGAAGTGATGATTGAAATTCTTTTTAAGTCAAGGTGGTCTGTAACTTCCATAGCGGCAATTTAGAGGTGTTGTCATCCTGTATCTGCATCAGTTTTTAGACAGCGCTGTGTGATGCTGGGATTGGACTGTCTGTGAACTCTCCATCAGGATGAAACCAAAGTTAATAACTATTTTGTCTGAAACATTTTTTACTAAAGTAGTTGTAGGGATCCTGTTATGCAAGAATATAGTCACACTGTGTGAGTCACCTATTGCAGAATCAAAATTCTGCCATTCTGATTTGATAGTGCTGTAAATCTGTTTTTATTTTTTAATCTTTTTGTAATCTAGAAGGCACATGACTGCCTAAAATAGAAAGCAACACAGAATCTGGATTTCTCCTGTTAGAAGTAATTGCATCATTACAAGTTCATTTTTCTATTTTAGCAATGTGTGTAGATCCGTTCTGCTACCTGTGGGTTCACCCAAACTTTCTTCATTCCTCTTTTCTCACCACCATAGAGATGTACTTGACAGCGTACAAGCTTGTGGGTTGGAAACACTGTAACCTAACCTGCTGAAGCACTGAAAATCCCACCTATTTGGGAAACTTGAGACTTCTCACCTTCAGCTAATGAACACTCTGACAATTTTGATGCCAGTGTGTGGATATGAGTAGTTGCCAATTTGGTATGCTTTTGGTGTATGAGCCTCACGTAGCTCACAGTTCAACCTGAATCCTTTCTGTCAGGTTCCAGGTATCTCCTAACACACATTTCTAAAAGAGCAGAGAATGGACATGTCAGACCAAGGCAGAGAGCTGCACCGTAAAATAAATGTATTTAAGTAGACTAGCAAGAGTATCTGGAAGAGCTGTGTTACTCAGTTGTAGTCATGGTTTTTAAGCTTTGAAAATTGTATTGTCTTAGGTGGCCCAGTTCCATCCAACAACATACTCTTTCGTTTTTTGTAGTCCTTCTTATCAATATCATTTGTAGATTTGTTATTTGAGAACTGATGACCCAACAGCTGTACTGTTTTTGAGAAATGTCATGATACTACTACAAGTTGCTATAGCAATGTCAGCTCCACACATTATGAAACCAGCTTTTTTAGACTGCCACCATGGAAATACATCCAAAATTGCTATCTGAACTTTCAGTCATCTGAAAATCAAGGTGTTAGTAACTCTTCTGCTTTGCATGTTGGCACCAAGGTGTTCTCTTTTCCTTAAAACAGACTGTGAGTACGAACTGCTAGGAAACTCATTTGTGTCCACTATAGAATATAGGGCCAGTTCAGAAGGGTTATGTTTTCTTTGCAGCACTGGTGGCTTTCCTCATATTTTGTGAGCTTCTTGTTTTCTGTTAGTGAGGATATTCTTTATATTCAGATTTTGAATGGAAACATTGCAGAAGTTATGTAACATCCAAAAGTGCAGATTGGTTTTGGCACCCAGATTGTCTGACATGATCATTGAGCACTTTCAGGTTCAGTGTGTTCATACCAAAAAAATCAGGCAGAATGCAAGAGTGCCTCTCACCATTTTAGGCAATTCTCTGGTTTGAATTCTGCATTCAGAATAGTATTCTATATGCATAGTTGTGGTAATTTTGCTCCCTTTTAGCCCTCTGGAAAGTCTGCACAAGTAAGCATCCTTTCAATATGGGAGCCAGATACAGGACCCCTCAGAGGGGGCTTTGAAAGGGTTCCCAGTGACTTCAGTGGACACTAAATCAGGCTCTTCATGTACTTTGTTGTGCAGTGACTTGGGATGCATTTGACAGAAAGCATAAAGACTGTCCCTGCCTTGAAGCAGGTGTTTTAAAATAAGTAACTGCTTACACACATGAAAACTGTGGAAGCAGCACAGACATCTTAAGCTTGCTTGTACATGCTGCATCTTAGAGGTAGAAACTGTTCCGTATAAGCCAGAAAGGAAGAAGAGATGCTGTATAGAAGACAGGATATGGGCACAGTAGAGTATTTGAGACAAAGCGTATATATAGCAACACTAGAGAGTCAGAGAGCATGGGGCAGGTAGAACATGGATGGATGGGTGGATGGATGGATGGATGGATGAATGCTGAAAATGCAAGTGGAGCATACTGGAAAAGTGAGAGACAGGTAGGTAGGTAAAGAGGTTGGGGACAAGGACAGCATAAACACTATGGAGTTTAATAAAAGGTTTGGAAGAGTATTGTGAATCTGAAATTGTAGGATTTCAGTAAGGAAATTGAATGGGGAAGGAAGAAATGACAGATGTACTCTGGTTTTATGCAGTCTGTGTTTTTTTCTGAGAAGACATTTTCCACCTGCATGGTGGAGAGGAGTTACGAGGTCACTGTGAGGTGGCTCAATGAAAATCTTAGCGATTTCATAAAAATTTGATTTCTTTTTCTTTACAGCTTATACACAACACAAGAGAACTCAGTTGTCCTCACAGAAGTAAACAGACATTTCTTTCTTTTACAGGCTGCCAAAATGGCAAACTATTGCAAGTGTCAAAAACTGAGTGACCTTCTGTTCCTTACATTTGCCATTGTCTTCATTGTCAGTAGGCTTGGCATATATCCCTTATGGTGAGTAAGCACATTGTTTTCCTCAAATGCTAAGCATCAAACAAGCTTGGAAATAACTATGATGTCGTAAGTGAACACAATTCATTGACATTACTCTGTTTCCCAAAGCACCAACGAGAGTTTCAGACATAACCAGGTGCTGAAATAGCGTATTTGCTACAGTGCCATTGTGTTTACTGTGTGCTAGGCAAGAAATATACGGGGCTTCTGCTGGTTTTAAGTGGTAGAAGTGGGCTGGAGACCACATAGCTTCAGGTTAGCCCTTGGTTGCCTGTGTTGGCAAGGAGAAATAAAATAATAGTCACCGAAGACACTGACCAGAGGCTAAGCTTGAAGCTAAAATCTTCTCATTAGCTTTCAGTGCACACTTCATGAACATGTTCAGCTTAAAGAAAAACACAGTGAGATAAGGAAAGTGTGGCCCAGTGATATCAGTATAAGGATGTTATTGCCATGCAGATCACAATACTGCAGGCTACTCCTTTTCCACCTCTCCTTTGAATTGGGGGTCGTGGGGAAGCTGTGTAATACATACATCTATAAGGTAGTTACACAGGTGTTACTGTAATCTCACCTCTTCCCAGACAAAGGCAGCTGCTTGCATGTGCACATTCTCTTCTAGGTATATAGACATGCACCCCCACAAACAGGACATAGATGTTTGATTCTTTAGCTAGGGTCTTCAGCATCCAGAAGGCAGCTGGCTAGTTAGGAAATACACTGATATACTTCAGCATAGTAACCCAGTCGAGTGTCTCTGTAACCCGTGCCCTATAATAGGGAGGGCTGGGAGAAGTCATTGACCTTACTCTTTTGTGTCTGGGATCCCCCCTTTCTCTTGTATGAACAGAAATAACCCAAATCTCTATATCCCTATGAGAGCAAGAGGTGTCTGTCATTGCATCAGAAGATACCAGTGACAGTTTTGGTTTTGGGAACCATCAAAAATGCCAGAAATGTTGCCCTTTGCAAAGTTTTATTTAGAGACATTACCACCAAGCTCCTTCTGTAAGCGTGCAGAGGATTTACAGATGCCAGTATCAACCTCTCTGCCACACTTTCCTTTCAAATCCTCTATAATGATATCTTTTTGGGGTTTCGTTAATGCAAACAGGATAAGACCAAGGTGCCCTTAGGGAGCTGTGTCATTAGCTCTGCTTAATGGTACAATGTAGAAGTCTCATTTAGCATTTAATGACTCCAAAGATAATGTGATAATGCTTGGTCCCTACTGCGCTGTGAGTTAGTGAAGGACCATGACAAAAGGAGAAAATGGATAGATGGACAAACTGCATGTTTAAAAATACTTGTTATTTTTTCCAGGGAGCAATTACTTGTTTCTTAAACAGCTTTGCTTCCCTTTTCTCAGTCCTTCCTTGAAACTAACTTGGCTATTCACTCAATTGCTGTAAATGAAGTAAGCTAGTTTTTCTACTTGCGTGATCTCAGATGGGAAAAATGGTGGCACTCTTGCTTGTAGGATTTCATCTGCCTGTTGCATGCTGATTTATATTGAGAAATGGAGGGAGGACCTAATTCCACCAGTGCAATTCTGTCACTGGAGACTGCAGTACATGACTCTGCTTCAGGGAAGGTAGCTTTCCACACTGCCTCCCAGAAGTTCCTGAGGGAGGAGCTGATAACATGGGCTAGATGAGCAAACAGTGAGGTGGACTGAAAACTGGCTGAGCAGCCAGACCCAGAGGGTGGTGATCAGTGGTATGAATTCTAGTTGGGGGCCGGTAACTAGTGGTGTACCCCAGAGCTCAATATTGAGTCAAGTCCCGTTCAACATTTTCATTCATCATCTGGATGATGGGGCAGAGTGGACCCTCAGCAAGTTTGCTCATGTTCCAACCTGGGAGGAGCAGCTGATACACTAGAGGGTTGTGCTGCTATCCAGAGGGAAGGAACCTCAACAGGCTGGAGAAATGGGCCGACAGGAACCTCATGATGTTCAGCAAAGGGAATTGCAAAGTCCTGCACCACTATATGCTGGGGGCTGCCCAGCTGGAAAGCAGCTTTGCACAAAAGGAATTGGGGGTCCTGGTGACACCAAGTAGAACGAGAACCAGCAATGTGCCCTTGTGGTAAAGGCTAATGGTATCATGGGGCTGCAATAGATTGAGGAAGGTGATGTTCCCTTCTACACAGCACTGGTGAGGCCACATGTGGAGTACTGTGTCCAGTTCTGGGCTTCCCAGTACCAGAGAGATACAAAGCTACTGGAGACAGTCCAGTGAAAGGTCACTAAGACCAATTAAGGGACTGGAGATCTCCCGCATGAGGAAAGGCTGAGACAGGTGGGACTGTTTAACACAGAAAATAGAAAGCTCAGGATATAAATAAATATAAATAATAAATATATGAAGGGAGACTGTAAAGAAGACTGGGCCAGGCTCTTTTCAGTGGTGCCTAGGGCCACAATCAGAGGCAGTGAGCATGAACTGAAACACAGGAGGCTCCATTTGAACATCAGGAAACACTTTTTCACTGTGAGGGTGACCAAACACTGGCACAGGTGCCCAGAGAGATTGTGGAGTCTCCATCCTTGGAGATACTCAAAAGTCATCTGGACATGGTCCTGGGCAACCAGGTGACTCAGGTTGAGCAGGAGGTTGGACCAGATGACCTCCAGAGGTCCTTTCTAACCCCAGCCATTCTGTGATTCTGTGAGCTGCCTTATGTGTTTAGCTGTGACTCCAGCATTTAAACCTCCCTCTGTATTGTTTGAAATGGCGAAAAAGGAACTGCTGATTTGACATTTTTTTGTTATTCAAACTCAGACTTTACCAGATCACTGCTATGTGCTTGCCTTGCTGAATAGTCAACAAAAAGCAGATCAATTTTGTCCAGAGTGCACGATTTTGAAGGAAGTCATTAGTCTTCACACATTTAACTAGAAGCAGCTGCCCAATATGCTTTTTCTCTTGAGACATCTGAAAATCAGCAAGGTCAAGCTTTTCCCATCCTTTACATCCTTACTATGGTAGTCAAGTTTTGGAAAGTCCACACTTTCAACCCGAAGTGTTTAAAATATCACTGTGTTTATAACTGGAACTTAAGCTCAGAAACTGGAGGTTCATGCTGTCTGGAGTGATTTCTGTGAAGTGTTGCAGCCAAGTGTCACACTGTACAGGAAGCCCTTGCTAGCTTGACATGGCTAGTGGGATTCAGGTATCATCAGAGCTGAAGTCTGTGAAATACACACCTCATGCTGTCTGACTGGTGGAGTCCCAGAAGAGATTACCAGCACAGTGATAAATTACCTAGCAAGTGTCAAAACTTGAGCCCTGCTTCACAGCTGTGGCATTTTGTGCTGGTGTTCTGGATGTGCCCATCCGTTTCCGTGTGTGTTAGGTGACAGCAGCACTTCCATGCCACTTTACGTTGAAACTTGTCTGAACCCTGCTTTATAGAGTAGCACTGGCCCAGTGTGCTGAAAGCAGGGTAAAAATCAAAGCAAGTGGATCTGGGAAGAGAGAAAGGCAAGAGAGCTGCACAGCAGCTTCTGTTGTTGATGTCAACTCCCTTGGTACTGAATATTGGGCTAATGAGGGCAGCAGGCTACAGCTGTGGTGAGGTTTGATGCTGAGATGGAAAAGATCAGCATAGACGTGTGAAGGCAGAGGGACTGTATATTATGGGAATGAGCAGCTGTCAGTGTGCCGTGTGCTCCTGTGTCGCAGATGGAGTGGTTACAATGGCGATCCCTCTGCCTGTCCTCTCCCTTAATCAATGAAAGAACACATTTATTTGTTTGAATATGCAAATAGTTCAGTGTGGTTTGTATGATATTTCATTTTTAAGACCATCTTATTTCCAGACCAAAGCCTTGATGTATGTACTCCTAATGGTTACCCTTTACATACACCTATAATCACAGAGCCCAGAGGCAATTTCATAGTTCTCAGCTGTACTATGAGCATTGCATGTGGGAGTCAGGGTTAGCAGATATGAAGCATGGGACACATGAGCTTGTCTCTCCCAAATCCTTTTTCTGTATGAAACAACAATTCTAAATCTTCACCCCCATTAGCTTGCATGTCAGCAAAGATGAGTCATTGGAGTGGCAGCAGGCCAGGAAGCATAGTTTTGCTCTCCTTTGCTGAATATTCAAAATAGCAAAATTTGGTCCCTGATTAATATTACATAAATATGCAAATTTTTCTAGCATAAAAACTGAGAGGTATAAAATTGGTGCATGTGTAATGTAAAAGGAAGACTGTAATTTATAAGAAAACTTCCCCCACACAGGAGGGCGAATACCCAAGACGGGCTTCCAGAGACATCGCTTAAGAAGCACTGGCATGCTGTTGTGCTCCGGCTTTGCACAAGAGCCATTTAATTTTGCATAAAGGTGCTAATAAAGAATTTAGAATGTATCAAATGCTGTTGTTTGAAGGTTGTTTAGCAGCGGGGCTAAGACAAAAGAAACTGGCAATTAGGTATATATTTAGCAGTCTTTCTGCAGGCATCTGGAGTTCATTTCAGTAATAATTCAAAAACCCCAGGACACTTTCTGCCTCCTGCTGCTAAGTGAATGTAGGAGTAAAGCTGCTATTTTCACTGACAAGACATTTTGTTTGTGAAATTCTCTCACTTGCGCATAATCACTGCTCTAGCAAATTACAACATAAAGCACAACTCTCCATGAGTCAGGGGGAAGATGATGCCTTCTCAGGTGATACAGGATTGTAGGGAGAATGGAAGCAATCTCAGACTAAAGAATTTATATAAATTATGTGAGCCCTTGGCTAGTCTTAACAGGCTGGGTAAAGCAGTTATCTCACATCTATCTTTATTTCAATAACCCTTGAAATTCCTTTTCCCCAGGCCTCAAGTGTTTGTTTTTGCTGTAGTTACATGAACATAGTCTTCTCTCTATTGATAAAGGAATGGTTTGCTTTTTGCTGTTGTTTTGTTTTTCTTTCACTATCCAGGAGGGGAAACTCCTTGGGGTTGTAATAGTATTAATCATTTTTTGAGGTGTGCAGAGG